GGAGAGGATAGGAAATTTGGTGAGTCAAGACCCGCGGTTTAATCTGCCGTTTTTTTTTTTTTTTTTTTTTATTTTTTTAAAAAAAAAAAGTTTTGGGGGCCGGCCCCCCATCACCCCCAAACCCCCCCCCCCCGGGGTTTTTTTTTTTTTTTTAAAAAAAAAAAAAAAAAAATTTTTTCGCTGGACTAAAATTAATTGCACACTTTGCCCGTTAACTGTCAGTATGACGTGATGAAAAAGAAAATATTGTATGCATATGCATTTGGTTCATTCAAAGTGCACATGTTCTTTGTTCCCAAGGCTCTGTCTACTATAAACAGTGAAGAGGATGCTGAAATGGCTCTCCAGTTGTCCAGTTCTCTGACTCAGGCTCTGCTGGCTTACCGCATCAAGACCGTTCCTACGGTGAGCAGTCTATCTCTAACGCAAAGTTCACTGAATAACACGATTATTCTCTCACGTATTCTGTTGCGTATACAGGCTAGTCCTCTGAATGAAGTCCTGAATGCAGTGAAAGGCGTTTCATTTCCTGGACCCTCCAACAATAATCCCTGATTATGAATGATTATCGTTCCACATGCGCTTTCTTTTATCTGCGGGTAAGAATATGGCGCAATGCGTGAAGTATCATGTGCGCGCTTTATACACACGTGTTGTACTCAGCGACGTTCTAGAACGTTCTGGAAACTATAGCGCTCTATATGTTGGCGCGAATTTTGATACGTGGCTCGTCATAACCGTGCCCCCCGGCACGCGCAGCCTAGCCTTCGAGTGTTTTGTGCCCGCCATTGCACAGAGAGAAGGTGTGGCTTCTGTTCGATAGCGAGAAACAGTGGAAAATGGGCAACATCACAGAGCAAATTAAAGCGGTGTGGTATTCGGTGAAGATGGGATTCGGTAACCTGAAGTCGGATGCCGGGCTGGAAAGCCTCAATTCTTATCTGCAGGACTGGAGCTACATAGAAGGGTAAGACGGTCGATATGGCCACCCGAGAAACAGGCGAAAGCACTTCGTGTGGGCCGTTATGAATCACCATCACCACACATACGTAGGTTCGTCCCTTCTCAAGCGGACGTAGCCGTGTTCCAGTGCCTAGCGGGGTCCCCACCGGCCAAGTTTAACCACGCCCTCCGCTGGTACAACCACATCTCGTCCTACTCTGACCCAGGAACAGAAAGCGTACGTGAGCTCTAGGTCATAATTAGACTCCCGGGTTGATGGTTGTATTGTGCAGTTTTCCTGGGGTTCAAAAGCCCGTTGAGGAGTACGGTTCAAAAGGGGGAGCTACAAATGGACCGGCAGCTGCGGAGGACGAAGAGCGACGAGAATTATTGCACTCTTTTCGACGATGATGAGGAAGATGAGGTAAGATGATATGCGTGCCTGTGAGTTGCCCAACTCACCTACTGTGGGTGGTGGTGGTCTCTTTTTAGAAAATGCGGGAGGAGATGAAGAAAGAGCAAGAGGCAAAGAAGAAGAAGAAGAATAGTAAGCCTCTGAGCTATTGAGCAAAGCCAATAAGCTCATGTGGTGCTGTTTTACTCTATATAGAGCCACCTCCAATTGCCAAATCAAACATAATTCTTGACGTGAAGCCCTGGGACGACGAAACTGGTGAGTGGGTATTTTGTTCCACTGTTTGTTGAGAGCAACAGGGGGACAAATTACCCTTAAAGTCTATTTGACTTCACCTGGACCCTCGAAAACTCCCCACCCACAACTGCTTATTTTTTCATCCAATTTCAGAAATTCATGCAGCAATGGAATCCGCGCGCTATTCCGAGTCTAACCACATGTTTTTCTGAGCTTATGTCCCATAAGAAAAGTATGCCATAAGTAGTGGGGTTACTGTATATCTGTTTACACGACTTCCGCCGGTCCAGGTAGAGCTCCAATAGGGAATGTATACACTGTTAATATGCTACTGACACACAGATATGGGGAAGTTGAAAAGCTGGTGAGGAGTGTTGAAGCTGACGGACTTCTGTGGGGAGCATGTAAGTACATGTACACTAAATCTGGTCTCCATACACTGATATATAGTACAGTCATAGTGAAGCTCAATCTCTATACCTCCCTCTTGTTCAACAGCCAAGCTTGTCCCTCTCGCCTATGGAATAAAGAAACTGCAAATCTCGTGTGTAGTTGAAGACGACAAGGTAGGTTCATTGGCCACACAGAGTTATACTGATACAAGACAGAGCGTCTATGGATTGGTTTTTAGCTCCTTCTCTTTCTCCCTGCAGGTAGGAACCGATTTTCTGGAAGAAAAGATCAGTGCTTTTGAGGACCACGTTCAATCTGTGGACATCGCTGCCTTCAACAAAGTCTAGACAGTGGTGACCATGATGTGTGTATTATACTATACTGTAGGTGAATGAATTTCTTGTGGTGCGGCATTCATGCGCAGGCATGCCTGTGGTCAGGCTTAAATTCATTGTTTGTTTTTGCAGTCAGGTGTCTTGGTATGGCGCCACAACAAAGAATCATTGCATCATCCATGTACATTACATCAGTAAGACATAATATTATAGCAGCACTAGCAGTGTACTTCAGGGGTAGTGTGTATAATATGAGGGTAAGCAACAAAAGGGGGATAACTTGGGCACTTTGGAACATTATATAATAGAGTCACAATAGAGTAGATGTGTGTAGCCGCTAACGTGGCAGAATGGTCTTCAGTCCCTCACTATTGTGGGACAACTTCGTCCACGATTGCCTCTTTGGTGCAATATTTGGCCATCTCTGAGTCGTAATAACTCTCGTCGGTGTTAGCGGTAGCAGGATCGAGAGTTCCGCCCGGATCAGGCCCCAATAGACCCACGTCAAAACCCCTAATTATAGGGGGCCGCGGGACATAGGGGAACCAGCCAGCCTCTCTCGGAATGACATCAGTTATCACTGCCTCGCTCGTGAAGTATTCCGTTAGCCTTGCAATGGGCATATGTTGGGAATGGGGATGGTTTCAGGTCCGGCAAGAGCAACGAAAAACTGGAGCGCAAGGACTAGCTTGGCATAGATGTATCCTTGGAGGCTCGGTGCAGGCAGTTGGTAGTAGCTAGACTGGGGGGAGGAGTTTCCTGCTCTGCGACGTGATGGTAAACTTGCGAGCGCGATTGTGGGCGGGGGAACACGGGCTGCATCTTCTGAAGAACAGCAGAAGATGTTTCCGGTGTTGCACTGTGAGCGTTGTCGGGAGGCGTTGGTTCCGCCGGCTGCTGTGCATCTTCGGGAACAGGCGACTGTTGGGTACCAGTGTAGTAGTCGCTCGTCCCTCTCCTCTCTTTGTTCCGTCTTCACGGCGAGATTTTGGGGGTGTTCTTCGGTGCGTGGTAGCTTGTACAGAGCATACACACACTGGCTGCGGTACCCCAACGACCTGTCATACGAGTATAGTTCATTGAAGTCACATCAGCTATACATTATTGATACATGCATAGCTAGCTGGTGGGTCAGGTGTAGTTGTACAAGCCAAACACATGTATCGGCTCTTATGCCGTCCCATGGATTGCGTTATAGACATTTCCCCCCTCCATTTGCATGATTGTGTCCCCAATCTCTCACTTACACCACCAGGCTACACATTTCCCCTCTGCCTCATATACTGCACTAGCGTACAAGCAACATGATATAAATACACGACTAATGGTGAGCGTAAAAACACGACTACTTCACATTCACTGCTGCTTCCCTTCCCTGAAGAACAAGGCTGGGATGCAGCAAGGCCTTCAAGCTGTATAAACACCTATATATTAGACTCCCAAATCCATGCAAGAACCACCATGCATGCAGGTACTAGTATATAACGTACTCTTGGTCGTGTAGCTGTTCTTGGACGGGATAGCTGCCATCACCCTCGGACTCTGTGGCCTCCTCGTCTTCCCCCACGGTGGCTTCTTCTGAGGGTGCCGAGGCTGAGCCAGCAGTAGCTGTTGATTGTTTTTTGTTGCCTGTGTGTGCACACGACCGGGTGGTCAAACTAACCATGTGGGAACACGTACGCACACACGAGGGGCTTGCCTTTGTTTCCAACCATTCTGGCGGGTGGCTGTCACCTCGTTAGCTCACCAGTGGCAGAGGGAAAACAACGCCTGCAGCAGCCATCGTCGCCTCGGCCGGGAATCATGTGACAATGGGCGGCCACTCCCCCTTTACGTTAGCTAAGCTATACGGACTAGCTCGCTCCAGTGCAAACAGGCAAGCTAGCAGCAAAAGTCTAACTACAGGTTGTGTGGTGAGCTAATCTTCGACAAGCTACACCTTGATGCAAGCGACAGTAATTTTGCTCGGGACGACACAATCTTGTGTGAAGGCTCGAAGGGGATAGCTACATAGCTAGTTCAGAGAGCTGAAGCCCTGCTGTCAATCAAGAAAAACGCCATAGGCTGCGAGATCTGTGGCTGGCATGATCACTATGCAGCTAGCTAGCGCTTGCCAACCGTTTGCAGTAGCTAGCTAGACATAATAGCTACGTACCATATTGCTCGGCATGATTTCATTCTCACTCGCGATCTGCAGGCGGATTCTCCAGTGACTAGCGGGCAACTGCAAAGTTCTCTGCAAACGACCAACTACACTAGCTAACTACAAAACTCTGTCTATGTGTTGCTAAGATGCGCTAGCAAGACGATGAATAAGTCGCGCCCGCTTTCCCTACCTATCGGTGAATAAAAGCAGTAGCTAGCGACAGAAGCATTCATTTGCTAGCTCCCTGCTAGTGCTAGAGCTAAAATAATATCCTCGTAAACTTTTTCACTAAGTTGGTTGCAAAAGGAAGCTGAAAAAGAAATGCAAACGTTTGAAACCGTGGCCGTTTTTCTAGATGCTCTTACCCTTGATAAACAGTCTTCTAAATCTCCAATCAGAGGCTCTTCAGTCCCGTCCTATATTATAGTAGCACACACATGACAATTCACAGTGCTCCTTAGTTTCCTATATATACCTGTTGGTGATCACAGTCATCTGAGAATAGATCATCTATTTCCAGATCGGAGAGGTGGAGAGTTGATCTTGCTATCTCTCTAACTCGAGATGATACCTCCACTGAAGCAGACATTGAAGTGTCTTCGTTACTTGGCTCTGGTCTCTTTTGTCTTGCACACTCCTCTACCTCCGCTGCCAACTCCTGTGTAACAACAACCACACCCTCGGGCTAGCACATTATCAAAATAGCTACCAGTTACGTACATACCTTAATAAACTGCCTGTGCTCTCTTAGAAACAGCTCTTTCTGCTTGAGTTGGTCCTTCATTTCTTTCTCTCTGTTCCTGAGCCTCTGGTGAAAAGATTCCACTTTCTCTGCATGTTTCTCATTCAGCGTCTTCAGTTGTAGTTCGTGAGACTCTCTCACTTGCTCTAGTTGCTTCTGCTTCTTTTTAGAGTCTTCTTGATCAACGGCCAACTGCACAACCTTATACCAAGAACACAGGAAGTTGAATGGAAGCTATATTATAGCTAGACGTGACATGACACTCCCACATATACTATACTATACTATAAATGGGTGTGATGTTATTTCAGCATCCTTTTTTAAATACCATGTGAATACTATTGCTCAATCATCTGCTGAACTGTTACTCACGGTATGCGAAAGCTCCCTCTGACAGCTGCTGAGCAATTTCAGGGCCTTCGTTTTATCTTCTTTCTCTCTCGTCAGTTGCATTTGAAGAGTGTCGACCTACACAAAGCAAAGCGAGTGCTAATCAGCAACATTTTATATTATACACATCACTGACTACACCTTCAACCTCTGTAGCTACCACAGCACCAAGGTCATAGTATTCATACCTTGTGTCTGCTATGATCAAGGAATTCCTTCAGCGTATTCACCTCTCTCTCCATACTTTGCTATCAAATAACAGAGAAACTGAAGCCTATAATACGATACTGCACTTGAATCCATTATACCTACCACTTTAGCCTGGTTGTCTTCAGCTTGCTGTGTTAGTGTTTTCAGCTTGTCTCTCTGGTTATCCAACAGCTGTCTCTTCTGTCTCACATCTCTCTCCAGTCTCACTAACCTGTAGTATAATAGAGCAAAACAATTTAATTATGTCTGGATTCTTTCCTATACCTTTCCTGAGTGTCAGTAAGTTCACAGGTCTTCTGCTGTACTCTCTCTTCTATGGATCTGACTGACTCTGTTAAAACTGAACACTTCTCAGACAGCGCCTATAACCACACCACAATTTCGCTAAACTCTTGCCTTAGTAGTAATTATCTAAACTCTTCATTAATACAGGAGGTAGGTTTTATTTCTTACTCGTTTCTCAGACTCTATTCTCTTCCAGTCAGAGTCGGTCCTCCCTCTCTTAGTCTCTGAGAGGGAAGTCAACCTCTGCTGGAGTTGTTGGTTTGAATCCTGCAACCGGTGAACCTCACTCTGCAGGGACTAACACACACATGGACCTGTAGCTGTTTACAGCATACTTTTGCATTTTCAGTATGCAGTACTGTGATAATGCCGTGTATCTACTCACACATGTAGCAAGGAAACTAGCACTTGCAACAAAACAAGTTGTGCGTTTATTTTACTCCCTCTCACTCACAATAAACTGAGTACGTAGTGTGATGAGTGTGGTAGTTTGGTTCTACCACTCTACTTGGCCAGCACATGCACACATAGGTGAAATCCCTGAGTAATGCCTTCATTCTCCCCACCGCCCTGGTGCTATGCTGCCATTTAATTTTGAGCCAAAACCTTTGTGAATGTGGTTTTTCAGCATGCATGCCCCGTAAAACATAAGTATCTGCGAAAATAGATATACTTTCTGCCTCACCTGCACTACAGTCTTCATTCCCTGGAGACGGACATTCAGTTCTTTGACTTCAGCCCTGGCCTTCCCTCCCTCTCTCCTCTCCTCCTCCAGTCTCTGGGTCAGGCACTGTCTCGCAGTCCCAGCACTGATCAGCTACACAATGTATATGGAGCTAGGTAGCTATAATATTACTCATTCGGTCGAGTTTTCTCTGCTTATATCAAGCTTGTAGCTAACTGTAGCCAGGCTTGATACCAAAACACAACACTGCAAAGCTTTTAGCTAGCTACGGCTCTTACACAGTAAAACTGTAGCCAGGTTTGGAATGCAAACAAGCCCCACAACACTAACACCATCTTTTTCAAACTCCCCAAGTGTATATTTGGAATTTGCTGACTCCTACCTGTTGTCTCAGGGCTCTAATATGTTTCTGTAGCGTCTTGACATGTTGCTGGAACGCACATTTCTGAGCTCCAGGCATGTGTTTACCAGTATTCACCATCCGCTCAACTATTTTACACCGACATCCAATAGATTGGGGCTTAATTTCAGGGGCACTCTCTTCTCCCTCGCTGGGATTAGCCGACTTTGTTCCCCGCTCAGCCGTATCTTTCACCGGTAGCGACATATCTCGAAGCTCTTTAGAAATTTTATTAACTCTCTTAAGAGCGTCTTTGGCCCTTTTTCTGTAGAACATAGAGTCTCCTTCAGAATGTGTACGTCTGTGAGACCTTAACAACTGTCTCTCCGGTATCCTTCTCTCCGCAGATGCAGAGGTTTGTGTAGAGTTCTCTCTAGTTTGTCGAGGTGGTGGTTTAATGGGTGAAACTCCAGTGCTCACTGTATCTGGAGCCCCCGCTTGAGTTCCCGAGTCAGTCACAGAGATTGATGATGAATCGTTATTACAGGAGACCCCCTCTGTGAACCTTTCTCGAGTTTTTCCAACTGGTAGCTTGATGGGTGAGACACCGACACTTCTGGTATTAGCATCTCTCGACTCTACTTGGGTTGCCGAGTCAATTGATGAGTCGTAGCGGCAGGAGCCCCCCTCGTCGGTCATTGTGCCCTTGGAGAAGGTCTGCAGTTGCTCCAGTTTCTTTCTGTGAGTGAGGCTCATGATTTGTGCCTGCATCTTAGCTGCCTCTTCTCTCAGTCTGTACAGCTCTCTCTCAGAACAACTACAATACACCAGAGAGTGAGATAAGTAAGCTCTGGCTTGAATTGTGGGTTTTATAGTCAACTCTTTGTGTAGATGTTAGCTACCAGTGTCATACTTTGTGTAGCTATTACCTGCAATACCTATAGCTTTTACCAGTGTGTCATGCTTGTATAGCTCTAACCTGTGCTGAGAAATTAGCTTGGTCTTTTCTTGCTTCAGTTTTGACACAGTACTCTCCAAGTCTTTCACCTGTATACACCCCTCAGCGTAATAGATATATATATATACATTAGCTAGTGCGACTTGCCTTGAGCTTTAGCTGCCGGGAGTGCACTGAAACTGAAACTGAAGCCTCTTCTGCTTTTGCAATGGCTGAAAGTTTTCGTTCCAGATCTGTTTGGAAATGATGATAGCTATCACGGGTGGTCGTCCCTCGAACCTCTCGCACATGCACGTCATGCATTTACCGTTCCTCCCATGCTCGAGTTGTGTCCTTAGCTCTGCCACACAGCTCTCACTCCTCAGACATTTGGCTTGCAGTGTGTCTCGCTCCTCCTCAATCTCTTGCCTGACAACAACAACAACAACAACAACAGAGATGTACATACACATGGACTATAAAGCACCCGTCATATCCATGACAAACAACCTAAACACACAACACGAAGGAACTAAATGCCCCTCTATGGGTGAGTGCTAGGGTTTTCAGTCTTACAAGTGAGTCTCCAGTTGCTGGCACTTTTCTCGATACGCCGCCAGTTCGTTCCACACGGCTGTGCTGTTTTCGTGACGGAGGTCTTTTGCTGGGGTAGCCTTTCGCTTGCCTGTTTCTTCCCATTGAGTACATGAGGAGCTGCATTGGGGAAATTTGTACGCAGTTTGTATAGGTAGAGTCTCTGGATGTATTAGAGCAGAGTGGCTGCATGAATTTGCTTTTGCATTTAGCATGTTTGTATCTTCCCCTGGAATAGTGCTTGCTGCACTGGGGAAATTTGTATAGCTAGGTGGAGTCCTTGATCTATTGGAGCAAAGTGCTTACATGGTTTACGAAGTGTCTGTATTTTTCTCTGGAGTGTTGGGGAAAATTGGTGAAAAGCATGGCTTATTGAAAAAGAGGGTCCTTTGGGGTTGCTTCACCCCCACAGAACTGTTGACACTGAAAGTGTGTACAGAGAAACTGTCTGTACATAAATACGAGAGCTGGGTAAAACAACAGTAATCACAGTGCAAAAGCAGCAAAAGAGATGGCTTTCCTACTGCTCGCTACTTTGAGTCTGTCTGCGTCTGTTCTGTGTATGGAACAAAGTCTGGTAATACATATCGATGGTGAGAGGGGACGAGATAGCACGGATTGCTTGGAGTCAAGTTCCAACGAGAAGTGTCGATCCCTTTCGTTTGTGGCTGATTACCTGACCCAGAGGGAGATGGTAGAGATTGTGATAGAGAGTGGAGAGCTGAATCTGACAGGACCTGTGGACTTCACAGAGTTCCACCACCTCACCATCTCTGGCCACAGTAGTCTGACACTCATTACCTGCAGTGAATCCGGTGCAGGACTAGCCTTTGTGGGTGTCGGGGACCTGGCACTGCATTCCCTGGTTATTGAGGGGTGTGGGGCTGAGAGGAACAGCACCGGTGTTGATCCTGGGACTCCAAATAAAACAGAGCTTCTCAGAGTTGCCGTCTACCTCCTCAACTGCACCGATGTGACCATCCACAGACTGGACATCCGGTCCTCAAACGGGACGGGACTCTCACTGTACGACACTAATGGAACTGTTGACATCAGCTACTGTAACTTCACCGACAACAAACTGCGTGAGAATTCATTTGAACCAGGAGGTGGCGGAGTACGTATAGAGTTCACCATCTGTACTCCTGGCATAGTGGGAAACTGCTCTGGCAGTATTCATAGCAGCAACTACACCATACAGAACTGCAATTTTTTAAGTAACAACGTCTACTGCCCGCCCGATAGGCAGCGATACATATCTCCCTTCATAAACACAGTCACACCAAGACTGGGAAGAGGGGGTGGTCTATACATTAGCATAGGCTCCAATGCTGCCGACAACACATTCACCATAGACAGATGCACGTTCAAGTATAATGTAGCAACTTTCGGTGGTAATGGAATGGTTGTCGAATTCATAAACTCTGTGCAAAGAAACACTGTTTCTGTGACTTCGTCCAGTTTTTCCGAGAATAACTGCTCATGTACGGCCTGCAGTGGCGGTGGACTTGTCATTGACTCAATGTTCTATGAATTCTCAGGGGATGATGCAAGGGTTCCAAAGGACAACAGCTTCTTTTGCAGCGAGTGCAATTTTACAGCCAACGTAGCAAATATCGGCGGAGGGATAGCTCTTTACGTAACAAAAAGTACCAAAACCCCCCAAAACTTGACCCAAATAAGCTTCTCCAACTGTACCTGGAGAGGAAACAAAGCGCCAACGGGAGCTGCTGTGTTTATTTCCCCAGGAGTGTGGGACTACACCAGGGACGGATTTCTCTCTTCTCCGCTGTTTACTGACTGCACTTTTGACTCAAACAAGGCGGTCAGGAACATATACCACCAGAAAAGGACACCCGGATTTAAGATATTGTCGGTGGGGTACGGTGCATTGTTCATTAGTGAGTTTACAGTAGTCTTTGAGGGGGAAACTGTCTTCAGGAATAACCAAGGTTCAGCGGTGCATCTGTCAAACAGTGTCCTGGCGTTCGGCAAAGAATCGAGCGTCTTATTTGAAAACAACGTGGCACACAGCGGTGGAGCCATCGGAATGTATGGAGCCTCAATGCTTCAGATAAAGAATCACTCGAATTTCACTTTTACCAACAACAGTGCCTTCTCCAAGGGTGGAGCTATATATGTCGATTTCAAGGCTGGGATTGATCCTGTGTATCACAACTGCTTCGTTCCTCGTCAGACTTTATCAGGGCCAACTCGACTTGGCTCAATTTTGACGGCAACAAAGCCAACAGCAGTGGAGCTGCCATTTTCACAACAACCTTTCAGCCTTGCCAACTGCTCTGTCCCAACATTAGCATATCGGAACTGAAATGCCCCGAACGTATTTTGAACTGTATAGCCAATTTCAATATCGGTAACTTGACGGGGGACTGCAGTCCCGGCAAAGGTAATGTTCCAATACTTGCCACACCTCCAAAGCAGTTTGAGTTCCACGAACCAATCCCAGTGGCGATAATTCCAGGGGCAGAGTATCAACTGAATCTTGCAGTCACTGATGAGGCTGGAACAACCCTCTCACAAGTAGTGTACGAAGCATCCACCCAGTCACAGGATGTGACTATAGACAAGCCCTTTACGCAGGTCTCAAACAATACCATCACCCTTCTAGGACCCGCACACAAAACGGCAAAGCTGAGCCTCTGCACAGCCGACACTATTGTGGTTGTCAATGTGACTCTGGCTGATTGTCAGCCAGGGTACGGCTACAACTGGCGAGATAGAAAGTGCGAATGCAGAGCAAACAAGTACCTTGGTCTCATAGGGTGCAATCCAACTGTATATATCAGGCAAGGCTACTGGATTGGGCAGTGTTCAGAGAAAAATCGGACAAAGCTCTGCACGTCAATTTGCCCGGATGCGTTTTGCTCCTACCACGACATTCACCCTAAATATAGGCATCACCCACTGAAGAGCAAAGCCTCACTACTGGACTCAAGTTTGTGTGGACCCACGAGAACCGGTCGAATGTGCGGGCAATGTGCCCCAAACCACTCAGTTTATTTCAACTCTTTTAGATACAAGTGTGGTGGAGAAAAATGGTGCTACTTGGGATGGTTCTTTTACATAATTACAGAGATTCTCCCCCTCACCCTCCTCTTTTTCGTCATTCTCTTTTTCAACATCAGCTTCACTAGCGGAAACGTCAACTGTTTCGTTTTCTACGCTCAAATCCTCCAACCGATCAGTTTCAGTGGCAACCGAAACATTCAACTCCCACGTGGCATCGAAATCGTCCAAGAAATAGTGACATCCATCTACAATCCTTTCAGTTTGGACTTTTTTACCACAGAGGGGCTGTCCTTCTGTCTGTGGAAAGGGTCGGGTTTTGCAGACGTCATGATAATGAAATACGTCACAGTGGGTGTGGCCCTAGCTCTTGTCCTACTAACCATCTTCTTGGCAAGGCACGGATTCCTACGCAGCAGAATCTTTACAAAGTTTCAAACTTCCAAGAGTGTCATAATACACGGACTCACTGCGTTCTTTGTACTTTGCTATGCGCAGAGCGTCAGGGTTACAGCTCACCTCCTCAACTTTAATTGCCTCTATACTGAAAACTTTGACTGTGAGAGATATGCCGTGAATCGCATGGGAGACTGGAATTATTTTCAAGGAGACCACGTAAAGTATGCAGTTGTTGCAATAATCGTCTTTGTGTTCATGATAGCCATCCCTCCCTTCCTCCTCATCACCTACCCTCTGCTGTTCAGGCTGCTGGGCCGTTGCAAACTGAGCGAGTCGAAACTAGCAAACCTTCTGTCGAGGTTGATGCCCATACAATTCCTGGACGCTTTTCAGAGTTCTTTCAAGGACAGATATCGCCTGTTTGCCGGGCTGTACTTCCTCCACCGCACCGTCATATTGGGAATACATGTGATTTGTCAGTCCTGGCTACAATTCTACTCCATAGCCCAGCTCCAGTTGATCATTGCTCTTACTGTACAGGCAATCTTCCAGCCGCACAAGGAAAAGAAGCACAACATCATCGACACACTTCTATTCGCAAATCTCGCCTCCATCAACATCATTACCTTTTTACTACTACGCCACCAAGGACTTTAGTGAGTTAAGAGTTCGCAGGTTGTAATAAACGTGCTGGCAGTGGTACAGGCTGTGTTGATTCTTCTTCCTCTACTGTGTGTCGTGCTCCACGCAGTCAACCGTAAATTGATGTGTAGAGAAGAAATGACTTGAGAGATCTACCAAGTCTTCGCAGTAGCGAGCATGACAAACTCCTACAGAAATGGTAGCCACACTGACAGAAAACTACACCTTTTCATAAGCAAAACAATATAGGGACTAACACCATTCACAAACATGTTTGCATTAAAACTTACATTCAACGTGTGTGTTTATTATAGTGTTCAGAACGTTACTGTATTCTCTGATATGGAGTTTCATCCCCCCTTAAAGGAGGAAGTTCCTTAAACCCCTCAGAGTGTGACATTTTCATCCTCCGTCGCTTCTTGTAAGCACCTACTGCCTTTTCCAATCCAATCATGATGACAATGAGTAGGGGTAGGGAAATTAACAGGCTTTGCAGCCCGGCCAGTCCAATGATAGAGCCCGCTTTTCCCTTTATGCTGTTGACCAAGCTAGCCATGTAGTTGGACAGAGTTATTCCATTGATGAAGGCAAGGTTTGTGAAGAGGAGTGCATCGACAATGTTATGCCTCCTGCTCTTGTAGGGCTGGAAGATGGCGTGGAGCGCTAACACAACCGTGAGCTGTATCTGAACCACGATATAGAACGAAGTGAGAGTTCGCGCGTAGGCAAAAGCCCCGAGAATAAGAGCGCGATAGAGGAAATAGAGTCCGGCAAAGAATCGATACTCGTCCTTGAAGGAACTCTGAAATGCATCGAGAAGTTGGATAGGCATCAATCTCCACAGAACCGCAGATAGCCTCGACTCACTCAGCCTACAGAGTCCCAAAACCTTGAACCCCAGTGGGTACACCATTAGCAGAATGGGAGGGAGCATCACCATGAATATCAATACGACCACAGCCGTGGAGGCATACTTTACGTGCTCCCCTTTAAAGTATGTCATGTACCCGACACGATACACAAACTTGTCCTCGCATTTCTGGTCCATGGAGTAGAGGCAGAAGTAGTTGAGGATGTGGAAAGTGGTGCGGGCACACTGCGAGTAGCAGAGTATGAAGAAAGCAGAGAGACCGTGAATTAGGACACTGTTGGGGGTGTGCAATATTTGGAGTCGAAAGCACCTGCATCTGACTACAAAGATAGTGAGGAAAACCAGAACCAGGGCAAATCCGACTGTGGTGTACTTCATTAGGATCACGTCCAACACGTTTGCGTTTTTCCACAGACAGAACGACAGTCTCTCCAACGCAAAGAAGTTCATGTTGAAAAACTGGTAGCAGAACGTGAAGGTTGTCCGAACTACTTCAATATACCGTGGATACTCTACCTCTCCATCGATATCTGTCTCGAGAGAGTCCAGGATCTGTGCAAAGAGGACAAAGCTGCTGAGATGGCCACTCGTGAAGGTAACATTTAGGACTAGAATGAGTACAAACACGAGCGTGAGGGGAAAAATCTCAGAAACCAGATAGAAGAACCAGCCCAAGAAGCAAAGATTCTGAGGGCCGCATCTGTATTTCCACGAGTGGAAAAAGACCGAGCGTCCTTCCACACATCTGCTGCAGACAGGACCGGTTCTGTGCGGTCCACAGATAGAGCTGTCCAGCAGGGTAGAATCGTTAGGCATGGGGTGCAGACTCTTTGCCGGGTCCACCTTGTTGTAAGAGCAAAAACCAAAGGGACAATATGTAGTACAGAGTGTGATACCTTCACTGGAACAGTTCCCCACCCAATAACCGTGCCTCAGGTAAACCGGACTGCACCCTTCTAATCCCAAGTAGCGTGAAGATTCGCATTTGCATTTGTTGTCTTCGAAATGATAGCCCGGGGGGCAGGGGCCGAGGGTGACATCCACAGAGAGCGACACAGAATGAATGTCCAAATGCACAGCTCCAGTGGTACCCGGTGCTCCATACACAACCACAGTATCGTCCTCGACTTGCAGATCCACAGACAGACACTTACTGTCGTAGCTAGTTGCTTCATATGTGACATCGCTGAGTGTAGCATTGTTTTCGTCCAGCGCTGTAAGATTTAGACGGTGTGGTATACCAGGCTTTACCTGCAGAGGGTATGAATCGTGTAGAATAAACCTTTTCGGTGGTGTTCCTATCAGCGATGCATTGATGTAGAACGTAGCAGTACAGTTCAAGACGCTACCAAGAGATTCTTCAGATTCAGAGCAAATCATCTTGCAAGCCTGAAAAGAAGCAACATATATAGCATGCCTGCTTACATTTTCCTTAATGTTACCATCGAACCACAACTCTGAATTTGTTCTGGGGTTGTCTTGATCCAGAGATTCAACAAAGCAGTTTTGAAGAGGCATTTGTAAGTCGGTATTGATCTCTGCATATATATCGCTGCCGCCAGGAAAAAATGCAAAGTTGTTGCAGAAGTAAAACTCCGAGTTGTTGCTGATGCGAAAAGCTGACGACCCATACATTGCAATAGCTCCTCCGTTATGCCCCATATTATTGGCAAACTCGACCCAAGATCCTTCCCCAAACTCAACAACACCGTTTGACAGATAGAGAGCAGATCCCCTACCATTCGAAAACAACGTCTCCCCTTCGAATCTAACATGCATCTCGCAGATAAAAACAACACCTATTCCAACAGACGATGCGGTCACGTTAACCCCAACCGCCTCCAAATGTTGATATGCCGAATTGTTCCAGAAACTGCAGTCGGTAAAGAGAGGTTTAAGTGTGTATCCTTGTTTTGTGAAGTCCCCCAGCTCGGGCGATATGTACACAGCTGCTCCCAAGGGTGATTTGTTGGCGGTCCAATGGCAGTGGGAAAAAGTGGCCTTGTTTTCGGTGACGGTTGTAGTGAGTTTAGTGGAAAACAGGGCCACTCCACCGCCCACATATGCAGTGTTATCACTGAACGTGCAGTCGACACAGAGAAAAGTGTTTCCCGCTAGTTTCTGATTATTGTTGTCCTTGAGAAGCATCGCGACTGTTAGCGCCCCACCACTACAGGCAGGGCAACTGTTATCACTGAAGTCTGTATCGTTCACAGTTAGCACATTGCCCTGAACCGAATCCAAAAATTCCACAACCATACCACCGCCACTAATATCTGCAGAGTTATTTGAGAAATAGCAACCTATTATGGTAAAATTGTTGTCGAAGGTATTAGACCCAAGACTTATATAAAGTCCTCCACCTTTTCCAGTCTTAGAGGTAGACCCTGCCATCATGCTGCGAGTTAATGTGACTGAATTATCTTCAAAGTTGCAGTTCTGTATGGTGTAGTTGCTGCTGTGAATACTGCCAGAGCAGTTTCCCACTATGCCAGGAGTACAGATGGTGAACTCTATACGTACTCCGCCACCTCCTGGTTCAAATGAATTCTCACGCAGTTTGTTGTCGGTGAAGTTACAGTAGCTGATGTCAACAGTTCCATTAGTGTCGTACAGTGAGAGTCCCGTCCCATTTGAGGACCGGATGTCCAGTCTGTGGATGGTCACGTCGGTGCAGTTGAGGAGGTAGATGGCAACTCTGAGAAGCTCTGTTTCATTTGGAGTCCAGGATCAACACCGGTGCTGTTCCTCTCAGCCCCACACCCCTCAATAACCAGGGAATGCAGTGCCAGGTCCCCGACATCCACAAAGGCTAGTCCTGCACCTGATCCCCTGCAGGTAATGAGTGTCAGACTACTGTGGCCAGAGATGGTGAGGTGGTGGTACTCTGTGAAGTCCACAGGTCCTGTGAGATTCAGCTCTCCACTCTCTATCACAATCTCTACCATCTCCCTCTGGGTCAGGTAATCAGCCACAAATGAAAGGGATCGACACTTTGTATCCGATTTGGGGAGAAGACACGTAGCATTATCGGTTCCATTGACGGCGTCAACAACCACAGTCAAGCAACCGACAGCAGCACACATGCTCCCAAATATCAAGAAAGCACAGTATACCGGCAAAAGTATCGCAACTTTAGCAGCCATGATTTGTGTCCAACTGCATTCTACCTATTGTTTGCACTCCCTTTATATCCCCGATGTACCATTATCAAACACTGCTTTTCCCAAAACTCACCCAAAATCCACTGATGAAAACACAGAACTCCATCAAGCAAACCTTTCAGTACGCATATGGTCGCACATACGTCCACATAACTATCAGTACCATATTGAGGCCGTGACTTTCTAGCCGCAATAGAAATTAGTATTTATCCCTGCTTGTGTGGCAGCAGTGTAGTATGAGGCCCGTATTACGAAATTATAAGGAGAAGGCCTCTTCTTACCTTTTGGTCTCAGTTGAGGTGTATGTTCGAAGTTGCTCTTCCAACAGAGTCTGACTAGCCTGCAAAGCTTGCATTCTTTTCGCTCTCCTGTCGTGACAGCTTCGCAGACCCTCAAGCTCCTTACACTGTCGAAACCAAAAACTTAAAGGGAAGGTAGCAGTATGTAGCTATAAGGGCAAAATTTAAATGTTACTAAAAACGGAAAAACTTAATTGAATTCTTGCACTTGCTCCTATTGTTCTGTTGTTTAGACATTATGGGGTGTGCAGGTAAGTGTATACACACTTTGGCCTCAAGTTGGAGCTGTGTTTCAAAGAGCTCTTTTTCGACTCTCTCTAGCGGAATCTGATTCTCTGCGGAACTCATCACTCGCTCTCCGTCTCTCTTCTGCTCGTCCCGTCTCCATCTGGTTCCCCCTTCTTTTCTTCTTCCCTCGTAGCTGCAAGAGCTCTTCCCTGAGGCCGGCGTTGTCCTTCTGGAGTTGTTGAACGGCGGTACTCTGCAGCGTGCTGTGATTGGCCCAGGCATCTCTTGAATTAGCCACTTCTGTCAGCTCCCTCCTGTGGTGATCAGACACACACATATATAGTCTTGTTCAAAGACTCTCCTTTAAAAAAAGAGGGGATCAGGAGTATATATGTGCGTGCACATGATTTTGACACTGTTGACTATATCTCCCATTTCAGGTTTGGTCGCATCCTTTGCAAAAGCAGGGACATTGTAATCAACCTGCATCCAATTACGCCCTAAAACGCCCCAGCCTTCTCTTAACTTTACTGGAATGAAGCTAATGTATGAGAAGGAATAATGCGTGCATTCAAAAATATGGAGGAAGATGGAGGAAAGAGTAGTTGCTTACTTTGCTGATTGTAGCTCAGCTTCCAGTCTTTGAAGGGTCTGTTTTTGCTCGTCCCTTTGTTTAGACAAATCCTCCACTGTTTTCGTCAAATAGGACTCTTCCTGTTTCAATTGCTGCAATACAAGTAAGAAAAAAACTTCAGCAACTTAGTTCACCCATTGTGGTACATATACCTGTATTTGAATGCCTTTGTTTTCACTTTCAGATTTCAACTGGTCAATCTGCCTAGTACGCTCCTCACAACATAATACAAGTCTCTTCATTTCTACCAGATAACTCTGTCATCCTCAGGGCGATATAGATATACATACATACCTTCATGATGGACAAATAGCGATCTTCTCTCCTCTTCCAGTTGACTCTCGAGTTCTACGCATTGCTCCTTCATGTTGAGCAGGTTAACACGCTCCTTTTGACAAACATTAGCCATAGCACTAAGGCCATAGATCACACAACCATGCACAATGCATAAAATGGTGCCTGTCTCAGCCTGTCTTACCTCCCCTCAGGCTTTTGTAAAGGTAATATTTAGGTATAGTGGCAGGTAAAAATGTTACCTCATCCGCTTGCTTTCGTGTTTCCAGTTCTAGAGATTTTAGTTTCTGCTCCAAAAGAGCAACTTCTGTCTTCATTCTCCCTAACCTGTTCATCAAAGGGGTATATGCACACAATTAATGACTGCTGGCAGCCCACTAGGCCACTTACTTTGCATTCTTCTGGATCACTTCTTTCTCTTTTTCTTCGAGATTCTGCAAAGCAATGTGTATAATGCATAAAGTATACCTCTACCTTCTCCAGTTCTATAGGAAGCCCATTGCCCACTTGTTGATATTACAATAGAGTGTTGTTGTTACTTGAGCTAAGGCCTGGGCTTCTTCCTGCTTGGTTTGAACCTCTGCTGTCAACTCTTTTATTCTCTGCTCATTCTTCAGCTCTTCCCTGCGTGGAAAAGCCCAGTGGTTGTTGTTAGGAGATGCTGAATGTTTGGTGGTTGCCTGGTGATTATCATGTCGACGGTTGAGGTGAGGTCGGGACTCTGCTTCTGCAGGTCTTTCCACAGCATCCATACAAACTCCTTGTCGTCCTAGAGGAGAGGAGGATAGGGGGTAGAGAAGCGAGTATACAGTGTAGCAAAATTTGCAGCCCGCGTTACCTTGCACCGGGATAGCTCCTCACGGAGCCTGAAGTTTTCTTCGGCGAGGCCGGTTTCCATCACACCGGCCACACGAGTTACCTGCTGCAGCAGCTAGCTCCTCCTCGTGCAGCTTTGGCGCCTAAAAACCGGGGGCGGCCGGGGGGGAGGAGCTCAATTCAATTCTAATTGATGAGCACTTCGTGCAACTCAACTTTTTACAAGCAAGGAGAGCTGCAACAGTTTGTATTTACCTGCCAATCTCGGTGAGTTTTAAGCTTCCTCTGCCGTTTTCCTTCGAAGACTAAGCTTTCTGTCGCGTTTTAACGCTTCTGGAAGCGCCAAACGCAACAGAAACGCTCCTCTCAACGTACAATTCCACGTTTCACGGGCTCCAGCAATGGCTACACCTGGCCCGAGCGGCGCTCTTCCCAGCGAGGTGGCCGCTGAGGTCCCTTTCCAAGACGTCTGTGGCCTCATGGAGAGGGTTCAGAAGACGAGCGGACTGGAGAAGAAGAAGAGGATCCTGGCTTCCTTCCTGGAGAAGTGGAGGGAAGAACACACCAGGATTCACCCTACGGACTCAGCCACAACTGTGAGACTTTTGTTGGAAACTGCCCGACCACTCTTTTCCTCCATTTTCTTGCCCTCTCTTGCACTTATAATAGGTAACAAACTCATCCTCTCTCCCCTTCTCCTCTCCATAGTTTGCTTACGAATATACTCAAACCCTAATATTTTGCTACTGTTCGTAATCCTCTCTCTCTCCTTTTCCATCTCCTCTCTCGATCTGTCTCTCTCTCTTCCTCGCCCCCATCTCTTCTACCCACCCTCCCTCCTCCCTACGTAACCAGAAAGACACGTTCTACCCGGCGATGCGTCTCCTGCTCCCCCACATCGACCGAGCTCGTCCGGCGTACGGCCTCAAGGAGGTGGCCCTGGCCAAACACTACATCGACATACTCAACATCTCTAAAGAGAGCACAGACGCTCAGAAACTGCTCCACTATAGGGCCCCTCAGAATGCTAAGCAGGTACAGTACGCAGGTTTCACCATTTGCATTGTATCTGGAAGTGTGTAACCTACTGTAGAACATTGTTGAACTTTTCTATAACCAGTTAAACTTTTCATGCTAAAGCCTTTAATAATTTGTGAGGGAATTGAGTTCCCCTGGTCATCTGT